CCGAGAAGGGCAAGCAGAGAGACAACTGGAAGACAGATGAAGAAATGCATATAAAATATTATATAAGTTACAGGTGAACAATATAGAGATTCACAATTTTTAAATCTATACTCCATTTATAGTTGTTATAAAAGATTGGTCTATGTTCCCTGTGTTGTACAATATATCCTTGTAGCTTATCTGATACATAATAGTTTGTACCTCTTACTCCCCTCCCTGCTTCCCTCTCCCCACTGGTAACCATTAGTTTGTTCTCTACATCTGTGAGTCTGGGAGACGGATGGTGGAAGAAATGTGCATATAAAAATTCTTACTAGCCTCCTGCTTGATATTTTAAAAGCAAGATTATATTTCTATTAAGTCTGGCAGTGTAAATTAATTGATTAAGTAGGTGTTTTCTCTGCTGTTAAACTTCATCTTACTGCTGTAGTCAGGGCCACTGGCAATGCAAGTCCCTAAATAAGCCTCATTAATGTACCACTTTTGTTTTATGAACAATGCAGCTGCTATTTGTAACTGGCTCTCTACCCTGGGTACCCAAGAACTATTGTTTCATTATAAGCATTGTGAGAATAAAATAGCAAAAGAGGAGGGAACACGTATGAGAGTCAAATGGAAACAAAACAAAACAAAACAAAACAAAACAGAAATTGGACAGACACATGCTGGTTATTCAGAAGTGGTATCAAAATATAGGAGACTGTCGTTTTTGAGGAAGGTTTAAGGCTGAATTTATCAATGGCCTGTGGAAATCGTATTCATTTTTAAAAGACAGCAGGTGTTAAAACAATGAGAAGTGACCTCCTTTGCACCTGGGTTACAAAAGCTGCCCCAATGTGTGTGAAAAAAACAGGATAATAATAATTTGAAAAACATCCTGCCTCCGGCTAGTTCCTTTTTATTTTTTTCTCACACTGGACAGTTTTATTTATAGATAATAAAGGCAGCTTATAAGAATCACACACACACACATACACACACACACACACACACACACACACACACACTCTTACACTCATTTCCCAGTGGAAGTGATGTTTATGTGACGTAAAATAGCTTTGGCGTTTGTAGACTCTGTTATCTTTGGAATCCCATCAGAATGTAATGTTCAGATTGCTCATATCCCTTTTAAATCAGTTTACTAGCACATTCTCAACAAACTCTACAAAATAAGACTTATTTCCAGTCCAAAACATCCTTTGATACGTGATTATAATGGACTAGAGAGAAGCCAAGATTTACAATCAAAACTTCTTGCTGTTTGGGAATGTCGATTTCATCTGCTGGAGGAGTTTGTAACTATCACCGTGGGGAAGGCGTGGTGAACCCCACCTATGGAACAGGTCTTTGACACCCAAGATTTCTGTGAACCCCCAAATTAGGAATACTGCTAGCTGAGTTGGGGATTTTGAGCAGACACCTAGGCTCTCCCAGGAGCTTAAGGAACAAGCTGCCACACAACAGCATGTGGTTCTAATTTGTGCCAAGTGCTTTACCTACATTATTCACCTGGTCCTTTTCATAATCCTTGGAGGTAAGTGGAACTGTCCCTCTTACAAATTATAACATTCATGGACATTGGGGGTTGGTCAGGAAGAGTCAAGACAGGAAATATTTCAACACCAGAAGTCTACCAACACTTACTTTAATAATTATGAATTAATGAAATCCATTCTTGATTCATTTCCAGTTGTGTATGCAAACATAACAAGTTAGCATTTTATCGATTTGCTTTGGTACAGACATAACATCAGACACAAAAGCTGGCGTGTTACAGCAGAGAGTTTAATATCTGACATTTTAAAATACGCCTCTTCTGTAGAATGACATTTTATACTTAGAAGCACAGAAAATGCTTCTTACAGCTAAGTTGAGAGGAGAAGTCCCTCAAATTCGATTTGAACTTGAGCCCTTTTCACATTTATCCATCCTGCTTCCTCTGCCTGCAGCCCTGCAGGCCCACCTGAGGAACACGTTGGAACTGAACCAAGGTCCACTCTGCTTCCTTCTCAAGGTGTCTTCAAGGCTCATCAGGCCAGGGAGGGACCACAGCCATCACTCCCCAAAATCAGTGGACACCTGCATGCCAGCCTCCTCCCAGGCTAAGGGAACTCGCCTCTGAAAGATGATTCCTGTCACAGGCACTCAGTGAGGGAAGTGGAGAAAACTGCCAACAATGCTCAAGCACCGAGTTTTCAGAACTAAACCTCCAGAATCCTAAGTACACAGAGTCGTAACATCCAGTATTCCAGCACAGGGCAATGCAAAGACCACTGGAGGACGAGGCTCACCACGGGCTTTGAGTGATGCGGGGTTTGTTCTCACTGAGGCTCAGAAATGGTACACAAGCTGCTTCAAGTCACCCTGTTAGAAAACGGAAGGATTGGGACGAGGTGTCTGACGGTTCCGACTGTCCACTATTCCATTCATAGTAATAAAGTCCCCAGTTTTTTTTTTAACTCTTTTTTTTTTTTTTTTTTTGCGGTACGCGGGCCTCTCACTGCTGTGGCCTCTCCCGTTGCGGAGCGCAGGCTCCGGACGCGCAGGCTCAGCGGCCATGGCTCACGGGCCCCGCCGCTCCGCGGCATGTGGGATCCTCCCGGACCGGGGCACGAACCCGTGTCCCCTGCATCGGCTGGCGGACTCCCAACCACTGCGCCACCAGGGAAGCCCTATAAATCCTCTGTTTAAGCCATTGGACACTGGGTTTTCTATTACTTGCACCTGAAAACATGCCAATTTACGTGAGTGCTGTATTTCCTGAGAGCTTTCATATTTTGGAATATTAACTGCAATGAGTAGAAATATCCTGGTTCACATTTTCCCCCAAGAACTTTGTAAATACCTCTAGCTTTTCATCTGACATTGAAAGCTACTGCGGAGAAATTCGAGGCCAACCAGATTCTCTGTAGCACTTCTCCTTGAAGTTCAATAACATATCCAGGATATCTTAGGTGTTGGTTGTTCTGTCAGCTTTTCCTGGAACACGATGAGAACTTTTGATCTGTAAGTTTCATTCTTTTATTTCAGAAATGTTTCTTTAGATCTTTGAAAAAATTAATTGGAGCTTTCTTTTTCAGGAATATCAAGTAAACCTTTCTAATTGCTTAAACACCTGTCTTTTCCTTTTACCTTCACTGCAATTGATTTAAGCTTTTCCTCTAAGTCAGTAATTCAGATGAATTGTGCCCGGTCCATTCCTTGGTTTTCCTAATTTAGTTCCTATATTGGACTATTTCTGATTTTCATGTGTTTCGTTAGCTAAACTTCTATTCTTATTAACTTATTCTATAGTATAAAACACATGTAAAGGATTTTCTTCTGTTTGGTTACCTTTTTTCCAGGCCAGGTTCTTCACCTCTTCTCACCCATGCGGTAATCCTTTTTTTCCTTTCACTTTTATTGAAGTCTTGGATTTAGATAGTGGATATACTGCTTCTTATTCATATTTAATATGGATTGCTCTTTGTATATCTTCCAGTTCCTCATATATAATGTGAGCAAATTCTCCTTGACTGCTTTCTCACTGTATCTGACTGAGTTTGAGAGCTGGAAAATTGTATTTTTATCCACCTTTTTATAGCCTGGACACAGGGTAAGGATAAGGACCGATCCACTGAGTCTTTGCAAGGTCTGGGCTCTGCTTTCTCTCCCGAGATTTTGGTAAACTCTATTACCACCATCCCTCACCCTTCTTGGGAGTATATCCTATTCCTGTGACAAAATGTCCTTTGACTTTGAATCTTTGCCTCAATTCAGTGTAAAGTCCTAAAAAGTGGCAAGCCCTAGTGATTTTTTTCTAGTTCTGGAAGGGCCCTGTGGGTGGTAGTGATTGTTTCGACTAGTGCTAGTTTTATCTCACCTGGATTTCCCCAGGTAGCTCACTTACCCTATTCACCTTTCATCTCAATTCTCAGATTCCTGTCTTCCTTGTATTGAAAACTATTAGTGAGAATTCTTGGTACTTTGCCTGCTTGGTACTTTCTCTCCCTAGTAGGGATTTTGGGGGGAGTACAGATGAGATTAGATGCCATTCTCCACTGCAGGTTTCTATTTCATTGAGTAGCTTTTGAAGTTTATGGCATGAAGTTGTACTTAATTTTTTGTTTGGCTTTTCTTTTCCTCTTTTTTTCTTTCTTTCTTTTTTTTTTTTTTTTTTTTTTACTATTCTTTTGTTCATTTCATTAATAATTGTGGGAGAAGGGTTGTGTGATACAGATTTATTCTGTCCTTTTTACGTGTTTGCCCTCTATATACTCTTTCAAGTGCATTAATTCTAAAAATGTTACACTAGAAATTGCAGATTATAAAATTTGCAAATAAACCTCGTTACCAAAGATGATGAAAGAAGAACAATGCACACAAACACAGTGACTTGCTAATAACTGACATCCACACGGCATCTTGCATTTACAACACACTGTCGCCGTATTTCATTTTCACTTAGCCCCAGAAAGGCAGCATCTGCATCTGCCCTGCACCCCCAGAACCTAAGTCTGCGCTAGCCCAGCGTAGATACCCTGTAAGGTTTCGAAGGAACGAATGACTGTTACCCTACTTTACAGATGGGAAGACTGGGGCTGCCATCATTAAGGACCTCGCCCAAGGCTACATATCTGAAGGGGGATGAAAATGGGCAAACGGGAAAGCGGAACAACGGCGTGGAGGACGACGAGCGGTTGGACAAGACCTGGGGCCGATCCCGGGGAACGCTGGGCGGGTCCTCCGGGAGGCGGGTACTACGCGTGGCTCCTGCGAGGAACGCCGGCCTTTGGCATTCGGCGCGGTTGCCAGGGAAACAGCAGGAGGCGGCGCAGGCGCCTAGCGCGAAGGGGGCGGGAGCGCGCCGGCGGAGCGGACCGGCGCTGCTCAGGCGTAGCGTCAGTAGCTAGGTTCCGCCTCGCGCCTTCTCACTGCCGGGACACAGTAAGGTTCCGGAGCCTGGGGGTCTAGACGAGAAGGCTCGAATACCCCTCTCGGCGGCTGCGCGCATCCCTGCCTATCGCCTTTCCCTTACCATCGCTTTTCCCTTCCCGAAGTGAAAAGATATCCCCAACCCCAGCCCCTCCCTCCAGAAGGAACTTACCCCAACGCCCTCTGGCTGTGTCCCGACCCCTGCAGCCAGCCGCCCTTCAGAGGACAACAGAAGAGCTTCCCAGCGGGCGAGGAAAAGAGAGAAAGTAGCCAGCATGTCGAACGCGTAAGTGAAGGGCCGCCCGGCCATAGCCATGGGGTGGGCTTCTCCAGACAAAAAGATAGCCTGCTGTGCTTCTTTTCCGTTTCTTTCCTCCCCCACCTCTTCTTTTTGCAGTTTTAGCAAGTAAAGATACACCTCAGCAGAGAGCATCAGCTTCTGTGGACAGGGAATGCCATACACTTAGACCTGCCAACTCCCCTGGTGCAATCCCTGCCCCGCATACAGATGAGCTCCTCCAGGCCCAATGCTTATGCCCGCTAAGCCCTTGTGGATGTATTTTTGAGGAAGCAGTGTCTGTGTTCAGTTCATTGCCTGCTTTTTTGTTAATCTAACCCAGTAATGTACCGCGCTTTGTGAAAACACCCAGGTCCCGATATTTAAGAAAGATCTTGAGGAAGCTTTATTGTACCACGTTGCTTTTCACCAAGAAATGCCAGTCAGGTGGCAGTGGCGCCAAAGAGTATTCACCCAGCACTGTGCCGTTTACACAGCACCAGCCCAGCAGTTATTTCATAATGGTCATCTCAGACATCTATTATAGTGCTGACTCTGCAGGCACTGTTCTGAGTGCTTGAATATAATAACTCATGACTGCCCTGTAATGTAAGAGCCGTTAATATTATTTCCATTTTACAGATGAGGACTTAGGCACAAAGAAGCTAAATAGTTCATACACAGCAAGGACACGGTGTCAACCAGGCACTGCACCTCCAACCTGCATTCCAGCTCTCAGTAACCCTGTTTTCCAGGCCAGGAAGTAAGGGCAGCGAGGCTAAGGGCTTTTGCCAGGCTTTGTGGGTGGGGGGATCAGGAGTGCAGTTTTGGACGTGTTGAGTTTGAAGTGCCTGTTGGACATCAAGTGGACACAAGTAGACAGTTGACTTGAATTCAGATGAGAGGGCTGTGTATGAAATATAAATTCGACAGCTGTTGGCATAGACGGTCTTTATGAGACATGGGATGAGTGTAGACAGAAGAGAGAACAGGTCCAAGGACTAAGACTTGGTCATCCAATGGCAAGAGATGGAGGAGGAGAGACCAGCAAAGGAACCAAAGGTGTGATCATTGAGAAGGAAACAAGACTGTGGTGCCTTGGAAGCCAGGAGAAAAAGTCGAGTTTCTGGGAGGAGGGAGTAACAGACTCTGTCAAATGCTGCAAGACAGGCCAGAGGAGAGCTGAGAATTGACCATGGATTTAGCAGTGTGGAGTCCAGTGGTGACCTTGACCTTCGGGGGGTGATGGAGTGGAAAGATGGACTAGAATGAATGTAGGAGAGAGGAAGAGGAGAGAAATCATAGACAGCACAGCACTGGCTTTTTAAAGGCATTTCGCTGTAGCTGGTGGCAAGGGAAATGGGGTCCAGAGACAGATTTTTTTAAGATAGGAAACAATAGCCTATTTGTTTGCTGAAGGGAATGACCAGTATAAAGGAAGCGGGATGATATGGGAGGAGGAAGGAGAAGTGGGGTGACATCCTTGCTAGTGGGGGCACGGGCTCCAGCAGACACAGAGAGGAGCTCAGGTGGTTTATGGCGGGAAGATGAGGCAGGGTAGAGGCTGTTTGATAAAGATGCTGTTCGGTGGGTAGATGTACTGGTGGGGCCTGGGAAGATGATGTAGATGGTAGATGGTGGTGATGCTGAGGGGCTGAGGGTGATACCCTCTGAGGAAATGAGGTTCCGAACCAGGGGGTGTCGGGGATGGGAGGGAGAATGGTCTGGAGGTGGGCTCAGGAGCCAGGATCTGGCCCCACTCCGTGCTGTGGTCCGAGGGCTCTGGGACGGAGGGAGGGCTGCAGGAGAGGCTGTGTTCTGAGGGGAGAGCCAGGCCTCCCTTAGAGCAAGAATGCCAAGGAATATTCCAGAAATAGTACAAACACCTAGATAGTATTGGAATAATTTGAAGGTTTATCATATATAAAATAACTTGAGGAGAATTCCCATTTTGCAAGATTTTGTATCGCAGTACATGTTTATGTCTGAATATTTAAGTCTTTTTTTCCCCCTCCGCCCACCTATGCATCATCCCTCCATCCCTCAGTTATAGGAAAACTGCCAAGCTGTAGAAATAACAATCTGGTCTTTTTCAACTGTCATATTCAGTCTTGTGCGCCCACAATCCTCCTAACTTCAATACCTGTAACATTTCTAGGTCATGTGCTGAGGTCTGAAACCAATCACGTACTTTAAAAAATTCTGAGTGGTCTCATGGATAAAATACTACCTTCTCTTTACAAGGCACATTTAAAACTTCAAGAACACTTTCACATCTGTTATCCTATTCGTCAGTAATCCTGTGGGGTGTCCAGGGTAGGTTTCATTATCCAGATTTGCCACTTGAGGAAGTGAAGGTACAAGGTTAAGTGACCCTCCTGAGACCGACTACCTCAAGAGACGAGTTCTGATTTTAAGCTTGGAGCACTTACAGCTTTAAAAACCACCTTGCCATACCCCAGAGAAATAAAAACATATGTCCACACAAAAACGTATATTGGAATGCTCATAGCAGCATCATTTACAAGAGCCCAAAGGCAGAAACACCCCATGTGTCCATTTACTGATGAGCAGATAAAATGTGGTATATATACATGCAATGGAACATTATTAGACAATAAAAAGAAATGAGATAGTGCTATACACCACAACACAGTGGGCTTTGGAAAAGTAATACTGAGTGAAAGGATCCAGTCACAAAGGGCCACCTGTTATATGATTCCACTTATGTGAAATGTCCAGAATAGGCAAATAAATAGAGACAAATTAGATGAGTGGTTGCCAGGGGCTGGGAGGAAGGCTGATAAGGGCAAATAGGGAGTGACTGCTAGCGGGTGTAGGGTTTCTCTTTAGAGTGATGAAAATGTACTGAAAACAGAGAAAGGTGAAGGTTGCACAACTCTGTGAATATGCTAAAAAAAAAAACCCCACTGAACTGTGCACTTTAAGAGGGTGAGTTTATGGTATGTGAGTTACATCTCCATAATGGTCCTATTAAAACATCATCTTGCCACATTCCGCGTCTCAGATCATCTTCGTGGGCACTGGCTCAGCAGAAGGATGCTGAGACCTTGGCTTTGAGGCAAGGTGGGGCTCAGGCTAGACTGAGGCTTCGAGGGACGTGGAGGCTGCACTGGCTGGGGGTCCAGGGAGCGATAGGGTTGTAACCAGTGGACGCACGTGGAGGGGCAGCAAGGCAGTGGGGAAACTGGAAAGCTGAAGCCAGTCTCCAGGGGAAAGGGTAGCAAATGCAGGGTTGCATGCTCACACAGCTACTTAATATCTCCCCATCAACCAACAACCTTGCCTGGTCTCTCCAACAAGGGTCCCCCGAAAGACAGCAGGTGAGGAAGAAAGAGGCTGCAGCCCAAATGTCAGGACTTGGAAGGATCAAGCCACCAGGATGGTCTTTGGCCAAAAGTTCCAGTTAGGAGTCAGCTCTGCCCTGGCTCTGGAGGGATTCCTGCCTCTTTGACCCTGGGTAGAAGCCTGGGAGTGCACTGCACTAGGGCAACAAGGCTTCCCCAGGCTGGATCTGCCCCAAAGCAAAGTCTTAAATTCTAGGTGTGTCCCATCCGTTAACTTGGCTTTTGTTTCCCCTGGTGAAAGCCTCCTTTACCCAAGATCCCTTGCTAATGATTGGTGTGGGTCTTTATGGGATTCAAGTCACCCCCCTGCACCCTATGGAAGCAGCCTCCATGGGTGGCTTGCTGGTGCGTTAAATGCTTTGAAGTCTGATAAATACCCTTTATCTTTTATTATCAACTCCACCCCTACATATAGAAATTATGACTAGATTTATTTACAGCGTCTCCTGGATATTATTACCAAATTCTTGGTAATATTAAATCTGCCTGTCAGTCTCAAGAATCTGCTTTCTTTCTATCTGGTCTCTCCAGGCAGGAACAGAGACCGCCTTCTGCCTGTTCCAGTCCTCTGCAGCTAGCATTCCAGAATTTTCTTCAGCTACGTCTTGTGTGACTCTAGCCATATTTATTCTTGAATGTTTAATGTTCTTGATCAGCACTGTGAATGGGGTTTTGTTTTCCGTATTTTTTCTCTGCACTTAGTTTTTGGGGCTTTTATCTATATGTCTTGCAACTCTGCTGTATTAATTGACTTCTTACATCTTGTTACTGATTTCCTTGGATTTTGCAGTGGTGTCATTTACAAGCAGTTTTTTTAATCTTTTGTATTGATCCCTCTTCCATCTGTTTCATCCTTTTTGTACTTGTATTTTTTAGCTTTCTGGTGTTTCTCTACTGAAAATATTTATGGTCTCTGGTTTTCAGCATTTTGAAGAGGTTGTCATCATCAGCCTCTTTGGGGTGTGTGGACAGTATTCTTAATCAGGCACATGCCATAAATTAAATTTATTGAGCATCTTCTTGGCATCTGTGAAAATAATCCACAGTTTTTACTGTCCTGTGCAGTATTTAGTCCAGCTTTCCTTAATGTTGAACTCTTGTGAATTTCCTGGGTGACCCCCCCCCCCTCCTTGGTCAGAGGGAACAATGCTTTTGATCTGGCGCTCTGTTTTGTTTGCTGAGTGGAATTTCAGATCCGAGTTCCAAACAAAATTAGCCTGTAATTTTCTTCTGTAATGTTGTCCTGCCAGGTCTAGGCCCTGAGCCCTATTTATTCTACAAAACGAGTGGATTTTCTGTTTTATGGGAACCTGTGTTGAGCCTAGTGGCCTGCGTCACCTGGCAGGTCAGTGAACGCCTTGGATCCCTGGCCCCCTCTCAGATGCTGGAAGTCTGGGCTTTGGTAAACTAAGAACCTGCTCAGCTTCTTTGTACCCATTTATCATGCAACGAGTGAGATGTCCTGGGCTAAGTGGAATTCTAACTTTTTTTTTTTTTTTTTGCGGTACGCAGGCCTCTCACTGCTGTGGCCTCTCCCGCTGCGGAG